GCACCCGGCGTGAGTCTAAGCCACTGGGTCCAGGACTCAAACTGTGGTCGGCTACATGGGAGTTCAGCGACAGCCATTACGCTAACTGGTGGTCCCTTATTATGGATTATTGATATAAATACTTTTTACTACTAATATTCATGTGAGTGCTATTGGTCTTTATATGTGTATTTGTCTACACACACACACACATACATACATACATACATACTCTTTTCAACCGCTTACCGAACTCTAATAAGTTTTACATTTTTATGCACTCCAAACATGTCACACTTTTCTTTTTTGGCATTTAGGTGGATTGTTTTGTTTTGTTTGTTTTGTTTGTTTTGTGTTCTTTTGTTGTTTTAGAGAAATTTTTGCTATAGGGTACATATGCTTGCCAGAGAGACAGAGACACAGGCAGAAAGTGAGAAATCACCCCCCAGGGATGATGGCCATACCACAATCCCTTCTCTTCTTGGGATTTCGGTTATGCACGCACATGTGCTTGGCGTGAGTTTGAAGCTGCGAGATTTAGGACTCGAACTGTGATCAATTATGTGGGAGTCCAATGAAGTAATTATTATGCCATCTGCTGGTCCCCGTTTTTTATTTTTTTAAAGACGTTTGCTATAGGATGCATATGCTCACCAAAGAAAGAAACACAGAGACAGAAAGCGAGAAATCACCCTCCAGGCGGGATGGTCACACTACAATCCCTTCTCCTCCATTCTTCTCTTGAGATCTTCGGTATGTACTCACATGCACCTGATGTGAGTTTCAGACTGCTGGGTCTGGGACTTGAACCATAGTTGGCCATGTGGCAGCCCAGAACCTTAACCACTACATTACCTGCTGGCCCTGGATTATCAGTGTCTGATCTGATTTAAAAAAATTTTTTTTCTATCTAAGAATAAGCCTTTTCTCCTACAGTTTTTTCCTTTTCTTTTGAGAGGTTTTTGCTATAGGGTGCTTGCGCTCGTCACAAATACAGAGAGAGACAGAGAGACAGAAAGTGAGAAATCACCCCCCAGGGGGGTGATGGCCACACCGCAATCCCTTTTCCTCCATTCTCCTCTCCGGATCTTGGGCACGCACACACATGCATTCGGCGTGAGTTTAAGCCACCAGGTCCGGGACTCGAACCGCGGTCAACTACGTGGGAGTCCAGCAACATAACCATTACGCTAACTGCTGGTCCCTATTTGTTTTTTTTTAAAGACTTATTTTATTTAACTTTATTTATTTATTTATTTATTTTAATTTGACCAGAGAGGGACAGAGAGAGAGGGGAAGTGAGAAAGCAAGCTGCCAGGTCTGACACTCAAACCATGGTCAGTCTTGTGGTAGTCCAGCACCCTTAGCCCCCACGCCACCATTTATTTGTTAGTTTTTCTTATGGGATGTGTGCACTTGCTGGAGACAGAGAGAGTGGGAAAGTGAGAAATAATCCGCTTGGGGAAATAACCATGCCACAATCCTTTCTCCTTCATTCTCCTCTGGGATGTTGGTCACTCACGCACAAGAGCCCAGCATGATTTTCAAGCCATAGGGTCTGGGGCTCAGACTCAAACCACTGAGTTGGCCATGTGGGATCCATGCCTTCACCTCCATGCCACCTGCTGGCCCAGTAACAGTGTTTTACTCACATAGCTTCATAGTTTGTTTGACATCTGGTAGGGCAACCTCAACATTCCTTCTGAAACTTTCCATGGTTGTTACTCAGGCTTTCTCTTACTGTGCATGTATGAGGCCCTACTGAGGTATATTCCATAGCAGTGAGTGTAACAAAGTTAAAATCAGTGTTTTGTCCCCAACCACAACAAAGTCATCTTCCCTGTTACCTTATAAAGTTCGAGACCAATGGCAGCAGCCATTTTTCCTCCATAGGACTCCGAGAAAATGTAGAATGGAACTGTCTAGCAAGAAAAGGAATTTACAAATAATTAAATATCTAATTTTCCTTTTAATTCACTCAAATTCATTTCTAATTTCTATTGCATGTTCAGATCAGACAAAATAAACTTGCTTTTATCTTTGCCTCCCATATCTGACTGTGTGTGATTAGAACACTGACTCCAGGGCCAATCTTTCAAGTGAAAGATCACCTTTGCAGGTGAAAGAAACAAACTCCTCAACCCAATCTTGGAGTAAAAAGGTTTTATGTATAATCAGCTGGGCACTGAGCTCCAGGGAAAGTTTAGGTTTATTTGGATATATGCAGTGTCACTGTAACTGGCCTTAAACTTAGCTGCTTCTGAGTCTTCGCTTACCTGGAATTCTCTGTTTGTGGAGAAGAAGATCTTCAGGAGAACCATCATGTCTGAAGCCACCGTATCAAGGTCCTGGGCATACGCATCACTCTTGTTCACGTAACTGAACCCGGTGCCCACAGGATTATCCACAAATAGGAGATTGGCAGCCTGGAGCTATGTGCCAGGGGAAAAGCAAACGCTACAATCAGTCTGTTGGTCACCAGTTGTCTTCTCGCCATCTTACATGAGCCCGGCAAAAACCACACTAGCGAGAACATCAGCATGGTGATGATATCTTATTGTTAAAGGCGATTAAAAAAATAATAATAATAACAGACAAGGGGCCAGCAGGTGGCATGCTCAGTAAGGTGCTGGACTTCTACATGGCCCGCTACAGCTCAAGTCCTAGACCTGGTGGCTTGCTTTCTCACTTTCCCTTTCTCTGTCTCTGTCTCTCTCTGGTGAGCATACATGCCCTATAGCAACTTTTAAAAATACAAAAGTAGGGGCTGCAGGTAACGTGGTGGTTAAGGGCACTGGACTCCCACATGACCAACTGCAATTTGAGTCCCAAACCTGGTGGTGGCTTGCTTTCTCACTTCCTCTCTCTCTCTCTTGTTCTGTCCCCCTCTGGTCAAATTAAAAATAAAGAAATAAAATTAAATAAAATAAAAAAAAAAAAAAGAAAAGAGAGAAAGAGGAAGAAAGAAGACTAATATATAGATGGGGATCAAAGATTGGTGGCTGGGGCCAGCAGGTGATGTGGTGGTTAAGGTGCTGGATTCCCATATGGCCGACCATGCTTTGAGTCCTGGACCTAGTGGCTTGCTTTTTCACTCCTCTTTAGTGAACACACATGTCCTTCAGCAAATTAAATAATAATAATAATGATAAATAAAATTCAATAAATAATTATTTATAAAAAAGATTCAGTGGGACTAGCAGTTAGAGTATTGGCTATGTCACTGAACTCCCATGTAGTCGACCATGGTTTAAGTCCCGGACCTGGTGGCTTAAACTCATGCCGGGCGCGTGTGCATGCATGCCCAAGATCCCAAGGGGAGAAGGGAGGAGAAGGGATTGCAGTGTGGCCAACCCCCCTGGGGGGTGATTTCTCGCTTTCTGTCTCTCTGTCTCTCTCTGTCTCTCTGGCGAGCGCATGCACCCTATAGCAAAAACCTCTCCAAAAAAAGACTCAGTACAGCCGTACTAAATGTCATGCACCAGAACAGGTACAAGCACAGTGTACTGTGCGACAACCCAAGGCAGTGAGAATACACTCACGGTCTGAAACTCCACACGTGGGTTTTCTGAGATGAACCCAGTTTCCACACTGGCCTGCTTTCCTTGTGCATTACAACAACATGATTTATCCTAATATCTTCTGCAAAAAGCTTAGAGTTACAAAATTTTAACTCTAGAGGATCTGAAAAGCTCTTCAATGATGACACAATCCAGCCATGTCCTTTACTGATCAGGAAATTAAAGCCCAGGACAGGTGTCCAAGGTCACAAAGTCGACAGAGAATGGCAGCCTCAGTGACAGGCCCTGCATCTCCTCACCCCTCACTTAGGCTTTTTGCTCACCATAGTCCCCTTTTAGTACTGGGAAGCATGGGGACAAGCCGGCGGGGCAGCCTGCTACTGTGCTGGATGCAAGGACAGGAACATTCCCGGCCAAGTGAACAGCGCATACAAAGACTGGAGGCGAGGGTGAGTGCAGCACACGTAAGAAAGACAGGTGAGCTCCTGGAGAGAGGGGGGCTGAAGACAAGACCTTGAGGAATGTGGGTAACATTCACAGGTACTGCCGCAGAGCAGAAGCACTGAGCAAAGGACAGTCCTAGCCCTGAGTGTGACACACGGCCGGGCAGCAGCCCCACCCTGCTGACAGCAGGTTCTGCCTGTTTACCAGTGTTTGTAGCCGGTGAGTAGGGAGCAGGTGGGTGGATGGGGGGACTGACCCGAGGTGGGCTTGGCCAGGCAGCAAAGGGTGAGGGACAGGAAGTTGGGAGTGTGGAGGTGGACCAGGGAGGGTTAGGGAAGGAAAGCATGTTAAGAATGGGGGCAGGGGCAAAGACAGAACCTGAGTGGCATCAAAAGGGGAGGGGACAAGGGACTGACAACCTGATGAGGCCAAGATACAAGGTAGGAGGAGAGGAGAGAGGGAAGGATTGCGAGTTACAGCCAGAGGCTGGGCCCTGGATTCCGAGATTGCAGTGATGGCCAACATGGGGATAATGACAGGGTCCTGGGCGTCTGCAGGCAGGTAGAGAAAAGGTCAGCAAGTTGGAGAAGGCAAGAGACGGGTGGGGAAACAGCTGTCCCAAGAAATGGGAGCAGCTGGGCTAGAGAGGGAGCCTGTGGACAGGTGCCCAAGGCCTCAGCAGATTGGGAAACAGGAAGAAGGACAAAGAAAAGGGCCACAGAGCGGATGTCAGTCCGTGAACCTAGCCAGAGCTAGACAGGATGGGGCAGGGCCTAGCCTTCGAGAGGCTACAGTGGGGGCTGTCCTCAGTGTACCCAGGTGGTTTTCCGTGGCTTCAGATCACTGTCAAGTGGCCCAATTTCCTCGAAGTTGCCAAATCCAGTGCTGGAACCTCCTGGACCACCCTGTGGAAGAGAGAAGAAACCAACATAAACCCAGAGAACACTGTAGTCAAATCTTAGTCACTACAAGGGGCAATCTCAATCACTGTATGATTTGGTTACAGGTGGGTTGATCTGTGCAAAAGATCATTTCTCCAGTGAACCAGGGCTTTTTGTGTCCACTGAGCTCCCTGGTGACTGCTGAAGGCCTCTTTGACAGCATCCAAGCCAGAAGAGCTGTAAGAAACCCTCGAGGGAACTGTCCTATCTCCTAATTATCTGGGCTGGAGCCTTGGCCTGGCGTGGGGCTCGCTGCCCCTAAGCGCTGGAAGACTCTTCCAGAACATTCATCTAGCTCCTCTCATTTCATTTTCTTTCCTTTTTTATTTGACAGAGGGTGCAAGTGCTTGCTGGAGCAGAGGAGAGATAGCGAGAGACAGACAGAAAGGAAGAGAGAACTTCATCTAGCTCCTCTCATTTCATTTTCTTTCTTTTTTTATTTGACAGAGGGTACAAGTGCTTGCTGGAGCAGAGGAGAGACAGCGAGAGACAGACAGAAAAGGAGAGAGAAAGTAAGAAGTCACTTTCTGGGGGATGACCATGTCACAATCCCTTCTTCTCCATCCTCCTATTGGGACCTTGGGCACAAATGCACATGCTCCTGGTGTGTTTTTCAAGCTGCTGAGTCCAGGACTCCAACCGCTCAGCTGGCCACTTAGCCACCTTCACTATCACACAGTAGACTGGCCTGTTTCCTCTCATTTTTCTTCTTTTCAATTTTCCCAGAGGTTGTGTATGCTCATGGGTGGGGGAGGCGCAGGAGAGAAAGCACAAAAGCACCCCCATGGGGAATAGTCAAGCTACAGTCTCATCTCTTCCATTTTTTTCCTCCTTTGGGGATTTTGGGCATGCCCACACAGGTGCCTGGCATATTTTTCAAGCCACTGGGTCTGGGACTTGAACCATGTGGTCAGCTATGTGGGATCTAGCTGCCTTAACCACCAGGCCATGGGCTGGCCCTAGGCCCTCTCATTTTAAGACGAGCAGGAAGGCCCAGAGAGGGGATGTGGCTGACCCTGGGTAACTCAGCAATTAGAGACTCTGCCTGGATTAAATGGTGGGCCCTGTGGCTTTCCACCTCACCGTTCTCTCCTCAGAGCTGCAAGACTCTCCTCAGAGTCCCTGGACCAGCAAGTGGCATAGTGGTTAAGGCGCTGGACTCCCACATGGTCTACTGCAGTTCAAATTCCAGACCCGAAGGCTTGAAACTCACACTGGGTGCATGTGCGTGTGTGCCCACAATCCCAAGAGGAGAATAAAGAAGGGACTGTGGGGTGGTCATGCCCAATGGAGGGTGATTTAGTCATTTCTCAGTTTCTGTCTCCCTGTGAGCACATGTGCCCTATACCAAAATCTCTCTCTCAAAATAATTAATTAACTAATTAATTAATTTTTAAAAAATCCCAGACTGAGGAGCAGTTGATCACACTGATTCCCTGGATCTGATGTGGTCGATTCTGAAGTCCCAGGTCAGGGAGCACTGATACTATGAGCACCCGGGGCGAAGGAGAGGTAGGATCTGAACTTAAAGCTGAGTGTTGAGGCCTTCCAAACTGTGAGGCCAGAGTTCTACAGGGTCAGAGAGAGTAAGAGGGGGAAGAAAAAGAAGCCATGGGGCAAACTGAGTGGACTTTCTGAGACAGCAAGAGGCCCTTTGGGAGACAGTCAAGGGACAGGACACTCAGGGCTCTTCTGGACCAGACCAAGGGGCGCTGAGCCGGAGAGGCTGTGAGGGTGGTGTTGTCTATCAGCTAAGGCGGGCAGGCAGTCCTAGGGCCTAGAATAAAAGGGCAGGCCTTGCTGTGCAAAGGCAGGATGGAAGCCAAGGGAGATACAAAAAGACGAAAGGGAACAGCTCACCTG